ATTCTCTCTTCCATCACCTTCCATTCTCTCTTCCATCACCTTCCATTCTCTCTTCCATCACCTTCCATTCTCTCTTCCATCACCTTCCATTCTCTCTCCCTTCTCGCCTCCACATCTCTGCCCCCACCCTTGCCTCCACATCTCTGCCCCCACCCTCGCATCCACTCTCGCTTCTCCCGGACACCCACATCCACGCCCCGGCCCCCAGGCCAGTGCATCCCCTGCGAGGTGCCCTTCTGCCAGTCGTGCGCCGCCACCGGGTGCCTCGTGTGCGAGGACGGCCACCTGCTCGAGGTTGACCCCCTGACCGGGGCCACGGCCTGTGTGACAGCCTGCCGGGAGCACTTCCAGCCGAATGGGTCCATCTGCCAGCCGGACGACCCGGGCCTCGGCATGTCCGGCACCCCGCGCGTCGAGTTCCGCCAGGTCGCGCTTGCCGGCACGTCGGGCGGGGCCCCGCAGCTCGGGTATCTGGCCGCCACGCGACTGGCCCCGGGGCCGGTGGGCATGAGCCACGACCTCCGGGTGCCGGAGGCGCTGGCGGCCGGGCCGGCGCCGCACATGCTGGCCCTGCCGCGGCCCGGGTCGTCCGGCCGTGCCATGTGGCTCTCCCCGGCGGCCGACGGGTCCGGGGCCCTGGGGTCTGTCCTGCTGCCGGACACGGTCCTCGCAGGCCTCCTGAAGCGGGCCCTGGCCTATGTGGAGTTCGAGCCCTTCACCCTGCCCAATGGGCTGGCTGCCATCATGGGGGTCCTCTGCACGGATGGCGCCATTGCCATCACGCGCGTCGAGTGCCTCGGCCCGGGCAGCCCCGGGGAGGGCCTCTGCGCCTCCAGCTCCAGCGTGCATGTTCCCCTGCTCGAGAGGTGCCATGAGCTGCGGCAGTTCGACCGGGCCACCGCCATCACCCTCACCCCGGGCGGGCTGCTCATGGTGTCGGCCACGCCCGATGCCCGGCGCGTGGTGCGCATCGACCGGACGCCCGCGCTGCCGGCGCGGTTCCCCGCCCCGGCCGGCTGGCCGGGGCTCATGGTGCGCCCGCGGCTGGAAGACGACGCCGCCGCCGCCGCCGCCGGCTCGGTGGCCGCCTCGCTGGGCATCGTCGACCTGGCCCGGCTGGCCGACAGCCGGTATGATGGCCTGAGCTCGGCCGCGTCGCGGCGGCCCCTCGGGTCCCGGCTGCCGGTCTGGCTGCCCACCCCCCGGCGGGCGGCCCACCCCGGGGGGGAGTTTGTCCTGTCCGGGGTCCGGGCCAGTGACGCCGGGCCGGCCGGCACCGGCGTGTGGGATGTCCAGCACTTTCCCCTGGGGGCCGTGGCCCATGGCCGGACGATGGACCTGCCCAGCAACCAGCTGGTGCTGGCCCTGCTGCCGGCCGGCCCGCCGGCCGCCTTCCAAATCGCGGCCATGGAGCTGGCCGACGCCGAGCGCCCGGCGGCCCTGCTCCTGCTGACCGACCTGTATGTCGGCATGTCGGTCCTGCGCTGCCAGGCCGGCAGCGACCTGTGCTACCTGCAGCCGGGGCGCCTGTTCGGCCTGCCGGGCGCCATCCATCGGCCGGGCACGCTTGCCGTGTTCCCGGCCCCGGCCGGGCCCCCCGGCGCGCAGGCCGCCCCCGGCCCGCAGGCCAGCCTGCTGCTGCCGATGGAGGACGCCGGGGCCCTGCAGCTGGATGTCCTGCTGGCCGCCTGCCCCGGGGGCACCTTCGAGCCCAGCTGCCTGCCCTGCCACGAGCGCTGCCTCACCTGCACCGGGCCCGGGCCGGACCGGTGCGCGCGCTGCCGGCTGGCCATGCGCACCGACTTGCACACCTGCCTGGACAGCTGCCCGGCCGGTCTCCAGGCCGATTGGGCGTCCGGCCTGTGCGAGTGCCCGGCCGAGTGCGCGGCCTGCTCGCCGGGCCCGGGCCAGCCGGCCACCGGGGGCCATGTGTGCACGGCCTGCCGGCCGGGCTTCGCCCTTTCGGCCGGCCACCCCGGCGGGGCCTGTCTCCCCTGCCACGGGGACTGCGAGCAGTGCTCGGCCCCGGGCGAGCCGGCGGCCTGCACCGTCTGCGCCCCCGGGCGCCTTGCCCACCAGGGGGCCTGTGTGCCGGCCTGCCCGGCCGGGCTGTGGCCGGACGCCGGGGCCCGGGTGTGCCGCCCCTGCCCCGGGGCCTGCACCCGGTGCACCTCGGCCACCCAGTGCCAGGCCTGCCTGGAGGGGCACTTCCGGCCGGGGGACCTGGCCGAGGCCACCTGCCAGCGGTGCGACCCGTCGTGCGCCCAGTGCGACCGGGCCGACGCCTGCCGGACATGCTGGCGGGGGCTGGTCTTCCTGAACCCCGACCCGGGGGCCGGGTCGCTCTGCGGGGACACCTGCCCGCCGGGGGAGTTCCCCGGGCCCGGCCGGTGCACCGCGTGCGGCAGCACCTGCGACCTGTGCGCCGGCGGGCCGGACCGGTGCCAGGTGTGCGCCCCGGGGCACCGGTGGCAGGCTGGCCCGCCGGCGGCCGGTGACACGGCCGCCTGTGTGCCCTGCCCGGCCGGGTGCGCCTCCTGCTCGGCCGACGGCCGGTGCATGGCCTGCGCCGGGGGGCTGGTCCTCACGGCGGCCGGTGGCTGCGCGGAGGCCTGCCCGGCCGGGCACTTTGCCGACGCCGGCGAGTCCTGCCAGCCGTGCGACCCGAGCTGCGCCGCCTGCTCCGGGCCCGGGCCCGGGCACTGTACCGGCTGCGCCCCGGGGCTGGACATGGTCGCCGAGGCTGCCGGCCTGTTCTCCTGCGCGTCCGGCTGCCCGGCGGGCCGGTACCGGGACACGGTGTCCGGCTCCTGCGAGGCGTGCGACCCGGCCTGCGCCGCCTGCAACGGCCCCTCGGACCGGGACTGCTGGCGGTGCACCGGCGGCCTGCTGCAAGATGGCGCCTCTGTGCAGCAGTGCGCCGGGCGCCATGTTGCCACCTCCGGCCGGTGCCTCCCCTGCCACGCGTCGTGCGCTGCCTGCGCCGGGACCCGGAGCACCGACTGCGTCGGCTGCCTGGCCGGGCTGCTTCCCCTGCCGGCCGGGGCCAGCCCCATGCGCTGTGTTCCCGGCTGCCCGGTGGGGTACCGGACTTCCGGGGCCGGCTGCGCGTCGTGCGGCGGCCACTGTGCCTCCTGCTCGGCCGCCGCGTGCTCCCTTTGCGACCGGGGCTGGCTCCTCGGCGGGCCCGGCTCCCCGGACCCCTGCGTGCAAACCTGCCCCCCGGGCTCCATGCCCTCGGGCAGCTCGTGCAACGGCTGCCACGGCACCTGCATGATGTGCTTCGGCCCGGCGGCCGACCAGTGCCTGTCCTGCCGGGCCGAGGCCCCGGTCTTGCTCAATGGCGCCTGCTTGGCTGCCTGCCCGGGCGGGACCTTCGAGTCTGGGCCGACCTGCCTGCCCTGCCATGCGACGTGCGGCGCCTGCACCGGCCCCACGCGGCACGACTGCACGGCCTGCCCGGAGGGGCGGCTCCTGCTGGGGACCGAGTGCGTGGCCAGCTGCCCGGCCGGGCACTACGCCACCGCGGCCGGGGTGTGCACCCCCTGCCATGTGTCCTGTGGCAGCTGCTCCGGGCCCTCGGCCGCCGAGTGCACCGGGTGCGCCCCTCCGGGCCTCCTGCACCGGGGCGCCTGCGTCGCCTCCTGCCCGGGGGGGCTTCTCGCCTGCCAGCCGACCGGCGCCTGCGAGGCCTGCCCGGCCGGGTGCGCCTCCTGCGTCGCGACCACAGGCTCGGCCTCCGGCTGTCTGTCCAGCTGCACCGCCTGCGAGACGGGCTTCGCGCTGCTGCCCTCGACCGGCCGGTGCGTGGACGGCTGCCCGGAGGGCCAGTTCTCCGACGGTGCGGTGTGCCGGGCCTGCGACCCGGAGTGCGGGACCTGCTCCGGGCCGGCGACCTTCTGCACGTCGTGCGACCGGGGCTTCCTGCGGGTGGACCTCGGCGAGTGTGTGTCCGCCTGCCCGGCGGAGGGCTTCGCCCCGGCGCCAGCACCCAGCCCGGTGTGTCTGGCCTGCGGGCCGGGGTGCCGGCGGTGTGCGGCCGGCCCGGGGCAGGGCGCGTGCGAGCGCACCGGCGACGGCCGGGTGCAGTGCCCGGCGGCCGAGCGGTGCGAACTGTGCGCGCACGATCGGCTGCTGCATGGGGCCGGGTGCGTGGGCGAGTGCCCGGACGGGCTCTTCGCCGACTGGGAGGCCGCCACTCCGGGCTGTCGGCCCTGCCATGCTGGCTGCTCTGCGTGCGTCGGGCCTGAGAAGGCCGACTGCATCGACAGCCCGTCGCCCAGGGAGGCTCTCGGTGCGCACCAATACCCTTCTAGACGCTTGGGACATGTTCGGATTTTCTGACCCCCCCCCCCTTCGACCTGCGCTGCCAGCCCTTGGCCTGGGCGTCGGGCTAGGCCTGCTCGCGCTTTTGCTCCTGGTGCTGGCTATGGTGGTGCTCTGCCTGCGCCTTCGCCGCACTCGCCAGGGCGCCCGGAAGCCGGTACGCTTTGGCTCTCCTTTCGGCCATCCCAAACGTGCATCCCCATCACTGACGCCCCTTCCCCCGGCCTTTGCGAAGCCCCCTGATGACGCAGGTGCGCCTCCTTTTCCCTCGATATCTCATCCCGCCCCCCTCCCCCCCCCTCGCCTGGCGACTGACCCCGCTCGTCCTTCCCGCTGACAGACGCCACCGTGCTCAACACCATGGTCGAGCTGTCGCTCCCCGGGAGCATCCTGGTGAGCATCACGAATGACTTCGCCCCGCTGGACGAGCAGCTGGGCGCCGGGACCCAGGCGTCGGTCTACGCGGCACACGCCGTCGGGGCCGGCATCTCCGACCGGCTGGGCTGCCCGGCCACGGTGGCCATCAAGCAGCTGCGGGCCGAGCGGCTGAAGCCCACGCAGGTGGTCCTCTTCCAGAATGAGGTGGCCCTGATGTGGCTGCTGCGCGACGCGCCGAACGTCGTCCGGCTGTACGGCTACAGCGACCAGCCGCCGGCCATCGTGATGGAGCGCTTCGATACGGACCTGGCCACGCTGTTGCACTCGGAGGTGCCGCTTGGGCAGGCGGCCCTGCTGGACATCTGCCAGCAGTGGGCCTCCGGGTTGGAGGCCATGCACGCGCAGGGGATCGCCCATTGCGACCTGAAGCCGGGCAATGTGTTTGTGAGCCGGCGCCCGGATGGCTCCTGGACGGCGGCCCTCGGGGACCTGGGCACCTCGCGCAACCTCCACACCGACCGGTCGTCCACCCTGGTGACCGAGCCGCCGGAGCTGAACGCCATGACCGCGCGGTACGCCGCGCCCGAAGTGCTGTCGGCCTTCCAGCGCCGGCGCCCGCTGGACCGGGACCTCTACATGCCGGCGGACATCTACAGCGCGACCATCATGCTGTGGGAGTGCCTCACCCGGACCGTCCCCTGGGACGGTGCGCCCCCCTCTTGTCGCGCCCTCCCCGACCCCTCGCGCTTGGACTGACCGACTGAGACACCGCCATTCCCCCAGGCATGGACTTTGAGCGGATTTCGGCCGGGGTGCTGGCCGGCGCCCGGCCGGACGCAGCCGCCGCCGCCGCCCCCGGGCCGCTGGCCGATCTGCTGCCGCTGGGGTGGGACTCGAACCCGCCGAGCCGGCCGCTGGCCGCCTCCTTCCGGCAAAAGTGCGCCATGGCCGCCGCAACGCTCCTCCACTGATCCCGCCTGCCCGTCCTGCTCGTGTCCAATGGCACATGTGGCCTTGCTTGGTGCACTCCGGAGGCTTGAGCCCATTTGAGGAGCATGCTCCGGCCCCCTCCCGAGAGAAATACATTGGTGGAATCTCACTGTGCAGGGGCTGCCCAAGGTGTGGGGCCGGCGGCAGCCGCACGTGCACACATGCATTGCTATTGTGTTGGCCGCATGGTCCCATTGATCTGTTGGCATCGTCTCTCTCTGGTGCCTTGTGACCTGTCATGTGACACCAGCGCGCCAACGCTTGGGCCGCTCGGTCGGCTGCACACGCATGGCCGGGATATTCCGGCCGATTATTTATTTCCCCCTTGCGGGACAAATGCCTGCATCGCGCCGAGTCCTACGCCAGGCGGCCCCCTGGCCGAGGTGTGTGTCGTTGTGTTTCACCCAGCCCCAGGGGCCCCGCGTCTGGGAGACTTTCCACTGGATAATCACCTGGGCGTGAGGAGGGTGTAGTGGAATCCCCATGTAAGCTGTGAATAGAGCAACACGTGAGAGTATCCACCTCACGTGTTAAACCAAGAAGGACAAAGTTCTAATAGCATTCTCTTGATCGAGAATGCGGGGTTGGATAACGGCCCAGGTGGCCCGGCGAGGTCGAGCGGTGTAGGCGCTCGACCGAGCGTGGAGATACGCGGGGGGGACAAGTCCCACCGCGGGGTTCTCAGATCCACCCCTTGACCTATCCCAAAGGTCAAAAGGGGGGCTCCCGCAAGGGACCTCCCGAGAGTGAAGACCTTAGCAGCTGTGTGTCGAAGAGTATACGAAAGTATAGCTGAAACACCAGTCAAGTCGACGAACACCTGTTCTAAGGCTTCCTCTCGAACCCCTTTTATTTATTCGAGTTTCTCTTTCTATTTCGCTTGCCACTAACTCGACTCAAACCGAGTTACTGACTCACTCTGGAAACAGACGACCGTGAACCGCTGGTTGGTATGTTCCCTTTATTCATGCCTAGAGGTTACTAACCGGGTGGCAGATCACACTGGTACCCTTCGTCAAGCTTCACTCACTTGACTTAGGCTTAACCCGTGTGAACCCTGCTACAGAGGGCAATCTCCGGGCCAAGTGCGGGCCTGGTTGGCGGGGGGGGGGGGGGGGGCACCCGGTGCCGGCTGTCTAGACCTTTTGGTCGGGAAGGCAGGGGGACGGTGCACGGTCTGGAACTTGGTCCAGAAGCCCGATTTCCGGACCGGGGCTTTTATCCGGGCCGCCGGCCCCAGGCCGACAAGGGGCCCCTGCCGGGCGTCCTCGCCTCTAAATGCCACACTGCCCCCTCCCCTCGGCACCCCGGCAGGGTTCTCTTCCACCACCCCTTCTCGTCTCCTCCCCCCCCCTCTCTCTCTCTCCCCCCCGCCCATTTGCCTCCCCGCCTTCGTCCGCTCCCTCCTCCGCGCTGGGTCCCGAACCCCACCCACAATGCCTGGCGTCCGAGGCGCCGGTCCGGATCGGCGATCGACCGGCCCTCTGTGGCGGATCTGGCCGCGCCCGATGGCGGCCGTGCTCATGGCGGTGCTGCTGTGGCTGCCCCTCCTCCCGGATGGCGCCATGGCCAGCTTGCCGCTTTTCTACCAGAAGGCGCTCTTGCCGCTGGCGAAGCCCGAGTTAGGTCTGGCCTTCCGCCATTTGCACCTGCTGGGCACGACGCTGGCGGTGAAGCAGCGCGCGGATCTCCGCGTGGACTACTACTCCCAAGACTCCCAGGACCTGGTGAATGTGGCGCAACATCGCCTGGGGCCGGTGGCCAACCGTTTCCCCGCCGGGACGGTCGGCCTGGAGCACATGCCTGCCGTGCCCCCGGGCGACATCTATCTAATGCCCTCCCTGAGTGGGCCCTTCGGCATGGTGGCGGTCCAGTCGCCCAGCATCAATGTGATCATCGGCGCCGCTGTCAATGCCTTCATGGTGGGCGACGTGAGGACCGTGCTCGGGTCGCTGATTCTGGGCGGCCAAGAGGCATCTCTGCTGCTCCAGGCCGCTGACCTGAGCGTCTTCATCTTGACTGTGGACGGTGACTTATCTCGCAAAATGCCCGTGGCTTTGGCCCCCGGCCAGTCATCCATGCCGCCCAGCCTGGCCATGGGTGTTGGCCCGGCTTTCCACCTGCTGTACAATGGCGTCCACCTGGAAACCCACATGAACACACTGGCGACCGGCGTGAATCCCCTCGGCCTTGCGGAGGACGTTGTGCACATGGCCACCGGGCGCCTGCTGACCGCCGCGTCCGCCCGGGAGGACATGATCTTCCTCCTTTCCAGCGGCCGCATTCTCGTTTGCCTTGACCGAGCCTTCTCGGAAGCGTCGTGCGCGCAGGTGCTCGACATTCCCCCGGTGCCGGGGCTCACCGTGCAGTCGGCGATGCGGATTTTGATCCCCGGCTCCTTGACCGACACTGCCTTGCATCGGCACTTCTTCTTGCACTGCCCGGTCCAGAAGCGGCTTTTTCGCTTCGAATTCCTCCCGGCCACGGGCCTGGCTTCCAACGTGCCCCGCGAGATCCTCATCCCGCAAGAGGCATGGGACATGGGCCTGAGCATGATACGGGTCCGCCATTCGCCCGGCGGCAGTGCCTGGCACCTGGCCGCCAAGCATCTGTACTTTCCGCCGGAGGCCTTTGGCTGCCCGCCGGGCGATGATTCGACCGTCGCCTGTGCCGATGGCCTCCTGCAGGCGTCCGGCGGCTGGGGGTGCGCCACCGGCCGCGACTATTCGCCCCTGTTCAACGCCGCGTACATGTGCTATGGCTGCCAGGGTGGCAGGCAGTTCATCCCGTCCGCCAGCGGGCCAGGTACGCCGAGCCGGGGTTTTCTTCCGCCCGAGGGTGCCCGGGGCCGCTGTGGAAGCGGGGCCTTGCCTTGGCTCGGTGAGCCGGCATCGGTTGCTGGGCCCGGGTGTCCGGCTGCCGGGGCTCTTTGGTTGTTGTTCTCTTCTTCGCGCATTTCTCACCCCCGCTCTGTGTGCGCTGTTCTCCCGATGGTCGGGCCTCCGGGCCGGGCCTCTGCTCGGGCCCCGGCCGTCTGCCCTCGCGTGTGCGCGCGTGCGCGCGTGCCTCCGGGCTAGGCATCTGCCAGGAGTGCCCGGTCGAGCATTGTGCCGCGTGCATGGGCAGCACATGCCTCGTCTGTGAGGGTGGCCTGCACCTCCAGCGGGACTGGCGCACGGGGCAAACTTCCTGCCAGCCAACATGCTCCATGGGCCTCTCGAGGCATGGGACCATGTGCCTCCCGCCGGCCGTGCTCTCGGCCCCGGCGGTGGCCTTGAATAGGATGGCCCTCAAGCTGCCGGTCAATTCCGGGCGCGTGGTCACCGTCACGCCCACCCGTCTGGACCTGCGGTCCAACAACCAGCTGTTCATCCGGTCGGCCCCCCCGACGCCGGCCGACCCCGGGGCCCTGCTCATCGGCGACAGCCTTGGCGACCTCTTTTGGGCCATGCCGGACCTGTCGAATGGCGGCTGGCTCGTTCGGCAGGTGCAAACAGGCCAGTCCTTGGCCGGGGTCAAGACGTCCCTCCTGGAGGTGGGTCCCTTTGACCCCACCCCGGGCGGGCTGAATGGCAGCTGGCCGGTCTACATGCTGGCCTTCTGCCGTGCGGACCGGGTGGCCAGCATCGTGCGGGTGGCCTGCCAGCCGGACGCCGAGCCTCCCCCGGGCCCGGGGCTTCCGCCGAGCGCCTGCCCCCCGACATTCATCGAGATCTGGCACAGCACCATGACCCAGGGATGCGGCATTCGCTCCATGGCGGCCGACGCCCTGACCCTCCTGGATGAGGACGCCACCCTGCCCGCGCCGCAGGGCCAAGCCATGGCCATTTGGCTGGATGACACCGGCATCGCCCGGGTGCAGACCCTCTCCTCGCAGACATCGGTCGGCATGCATCCGGTCCTCTTCCCGGCCTCGGGGGGTGTCCTCATGGCCGGCGGCGCCAGGACGCTGTATCAGCCGGCGCCCCGGCTGTACCTCGTGCCGGTGCCCCTGTCGGCCAATGACCCCCGGGCTGAGGCTCTCATCGAGGCGTGGTCCGGCGCCGGGTCCTTTGTCGAGCCGCTGTCCCTGCCGACCGGGCGCGCCTCGTGGCCCTTCGAGACGGTGGCCAGCATCCTCCAGTTGGGGGCCGGCCCGGTGTGGGATGCCCTCCACTGGCCGCTGGGCACGCTGCCCCATGAGCGGCTCATCGGCCTGCCAGCCCTGAAGGTCCACCTTGCCACGCTGGAGGGCGGCTCCTATGGCAATGGGCATCGACTGGGTGTCGTCCCGCTGGCGGGGCTGGACTACCCCAGCGCCCTGGTGCTGGTGACCCAGCGCCATGTCCTGGTCTCCCTCCTCCGGTGCTGGGACCACCATCTTTCCGGCTTCCCCTTCTGCCACTTGCTGCCGGCCACCAGCCTGCAGGTGGACCTGATCGAGGACCTGCGGGACATTCGCATCGTCCACCTGCCCATGGCCCGGGCTTCGGGCGACCCGCCCGGTCAGGTGCATCTGCTGCTCAGCTGGGGCGCCAGCACGCCGGTCGGCCTCTCGCTGACGCCCCCCGAGCCGGGCTGCCCCCCGGGGACATTCCCTCCCAATTGCCTGCCCTGCTGGCCGAGCTGCCCCGGGTGTACCGGCCCCGGGCTGGCAGATTGCCAGGCCTGCGACCTCCAAATGCCGGATGGCACCTGTGTTCAGGAATGCCCCCCGGGGCTGGTTGACAGCGGCCTCGGGGCCTGTGCCTGCCCGGCCTTGTGCGTCGCCTGCTCGCCCGACACGCTGGGCGGGCCCTTTTGGTGCCGGGAATGCCAGGCGGGCCATGCCCTGGACAGCCTGAATCCCAATTCCTGCCTGCCATGCCACCCCTCCTGCGAGTCGTGCGCCGTCCCGAATGACCCGGCTGCTTGTCATGCCTGCCCGGCGGCGAAGTGGCTGAAGGACCACACCTGCGTCGATGATTGCCCCACTTCATTCTGGCCCAACCCGGCCTCTCGCGCCTGCGAGCCATGCCCGGCGAGCTGCGCCACCTGTGCGTCGGCCGACCGCTGCACCGCCTGCCCGGCACGGGCCTACCTCGGCTCGGATGACCAGTGCCACCACTGCGACGGGTCCTGCGCCTCGTGCGAGGACGGGCTCTCCTGCGGGGCCTGCCGCTCGGGGCTGGTCTTCCTGCAGACCGACCCGCTGATCGCGTCGACCTGTGCGTCGACCTGCCCGCCGGGGGAGTTCGTCGGCGCCGGCCGGTGCACCGTGTGCGGCAGCACCTGCGACCTGTGCGCCGGCGGGCCGGACCGTTGCGAGGTGTGCGCGCCTGGTCACCGGTGGCAGACTGGCCCGCCGGCGGCCGGCGGCACGGCCGCCTGTGTGCCATGCCCGCCCGGGTGCGAGTCGTGCGCCGGGGAGCTGTGTTTGTCCTGCGGCCCGGGGCTGTTCCTCACGCCGACCGGCACCTGCGCGGCATCCTGCCCGGGCGGACGCCATGCGGACGACGAGGTCGGCAGCTGCCAGCCGTGCGACGTCAGCTGCGACGAGTGCGCCGGGCCCGCCGGCGACCAGTGCACCGAGTGCGCCCCGGGGCTGGACATGGTCGCCGAGGCTGACGGCCTGTTCTCCTGCGCGTCCGGCTGCCCGGAGGGCCGGTACCGGGACACGGTGTCCGGCTCCTGCGAGGCGTGCGACCCGGCCTGCGCCACCTGCAACGGCCCCTCGGACCGGGACTGCTGGCGGTGCACCGGCGGCCTGCTGCAAGACGGCCACTCCGTGCAGCAGTGCGCCGCCAACCATGCCCCCACCGCCGGCCGGTGCCTCCCCTGCCACGCGTCGTGCGCTGCCTGCGCCGGGACCCGGAGCACCGACTGCGTCGGCTGCCTGGCCGGGCTGCTTCCCCTGCCGGCCGGGGCCAGCCCGACGCGCTGTGTTCCCGGCTGCCCGGTGGGCTACACCGCGGGGCCCGGCGGCTGCACGCCGTGCGGCGTCCACTGCTCCAGCTGCCCTGGCGATGCGGCGACGTGCGCGCTGTGCGACCGCGGGTGGCTGCTGTCCGGGCCGGCCTGCCAGGACTCCTGCCCGGAGGCCTCCGCGCCGCAGGGGGGCCTGTGCAAGGTGTGCCACGCGACCTGTGCCACCTGCTTTGGGCCGGAGCCGGAGCACTGCCTCACGTGCCAGCCGCCGGCCCGGCTGCTGCTCGACGGCCGGTGCTACGCCTCCTGCCCGGGCGGGACCTTCGAGTCTGGGCCGACCTGCCTGCCCTGCCATGCGACGTGCGGCGCCTGCACCGGCCCCACGGGGCACGAGTGCACGGCCTGCCCGGAGGGGCGGCTCCTGCGCGGTGGCGAGTGCCTGACCGCGTGCCCGACCGGCGAGTATGCCGATATGGACCGCGTGTGTCGGCCCTGCGACGCCCCGTGCCGGACGTGCCTCGGCCCGGGGGCGTGCTCCTCGTGCGCCGGCGAGCAGGTGCTGCACGAGGACCAGTGCATTGGGGCCTGCCCCGAGCGGACGTATGTCTGCTCGGTGACCGGCCGCTGCCGGGCCTGCCCGGCCGGGTGCGCGGCCTGCATGGCGGGCCCCCCCTCGTCGGGGGCCGAATGCACGGCCACCTGCACGGAGTGCGACGCTGGCCGGGCGCTGTCCCCTGCCGGCGGCCGGTGCGTCGAAGTCTGCCCGGCGGGGGAGCATCTGGACGGGTCTGTCTGCCGGGCCTGCCATGCCGACTGCCGGACTTGCTTCGGCCGGGCCAGCGCCTGCACCAGCTGCCACGCGGGCGTGCTGCACCCGGCCAACGGGGCCTGCGTCGGGGCCTGCCCGGCGGCCGGCTTCGTCGAGGTGGACTTCTCGGCCTCGGTCGTGGCCCCGGGCCCGGAGCGGGTGTGCCTCTCCTGCTCGAGCGGCTGCCTCCAGTGCGTGGCCAGCCCAACGGCCCCGGCATGCGGCCTCGCGCCGGACGGTGCGCTCGTGTGCCCGACCTCGGCCAGCATCTGCACTTTTTGCCAGGGGGACCTGCTGCTGGTGGCCGGTCGGGCCGAGTGTGTGGCGGCCTGCCCGCCGGTGGGGTTTTTCGCCGACTGGCATGCCCCAGCACCAGCCTGCCTTCCCTGCCACCCGGCCTGCGCTTCCTGCCTCGGGCCCGGCCCGGGCGACTGCACCGATGCAGGCGGCCCGGCCGGGCGGCGACTCGGTACGTGCTGCCCCATGTGCGGCTCCTGCGCGCCCCCCCCCCCCCCTGGTTTTGTCCCCGACCACCCGACTGACGGGGCCGTGTCCCTGTGCAGCCCTTGGCCTCGGCATCGGTCTGGGCATGCTGCTGCTGCTGCTGCTGCTGCTGCTGGTCTTGTTCCTGTACTTGCGCCTTCGCCACCGGCGGCGTGTCTCGACCAAGGTGCGTGTCCTACATGGTCTTCCCTTTGCCGTGCCCGCGCGCCGGGCCGGGCCGATCGCTGACATCTCCGCACGCACGCCCCTGCGCCCGGGGCGCCCGGGGGGGG